GTGATGACATTTGTATTACTTTTCCCCTCTGGTTTCCAACCCAAACTCATCACTCCAATCTGGTCTTGAGAAAACCATCTGACAAGTACCCCTGGAGGGACGTTCTTCAAATATCTGAACAGTGAAATCTCAAACCTTTCAGGGTCCATCAAAAACGTTTGTGTGGGAAATGGTCACAGTCCAGAGGGAGACCCAGGAGACCCAACACCACATGCATGGGACATCCTGACTGGGATCCCGGCACGAGGCAGAGACAGGAATGTGAATCAGGTATGGTTTGTTAATTGTGACAAATGTCCCACAATGATGTAACATGTTACTAATGGGGGAAATCAGCCATGAGGCATCTGGGACTGTCCTATGTTGACTCCACAACATCCCTGTAAATCGACATCAATTCTACAACCAAAAGTTTATTTAAAACAGATGGAACACCCTCCTTTCTCTGTCCGCCGCTGACCTATGGTCTACTCCACGCAACTCTGAATGTCCATTGGGTGATCAAGGAAGGAAATCCCCAGGCACAGATGTCAGAGACCTCACTGGGGTCTGGGGACCCCCGCATGCACCCCTTCTCAATGGCACTCCAGGGTCCTCATGAGTGAGATACCTCCTCCTGGGGAATATTAGTGACAGGTAATTGCAGGACCCCATGTTTCAGTACCAGAGCCACACGGGGCCCCCTCCTACCCCCTCCCACCCACCCCCCGCACAGACAGCAAGTAGACACAAGAGCCAGTGGGAGCCTCTCCCAAGTCTCGGCACCTGTTATGAGCCTGGCAAGGGCAGAGGAAGGAGCTCACAGTGAGGGATGCTTAGGGTGGGCTGCTCCACCCACAACCTCTCAGACACCAAGCTCAGTGCCCCCATCTCTTATTAATTCTTGAGACCCATAATACATACCCTGCAAGTCTTTTATTTATTTTTTTCTTAAAGAAGCTAGGCTGGCCTTATGGCCTGCAGCTAAGAATATTATTGGCTACACCAGGGCATATTTTACCTGAAATAGAATAAGAAGAGGAGCCTATTCTAGGTCAGGGCAGGTTCAAAGTCTGTATCCTTCAAGTGATTTAAGCTCAGGGCCAAACTCAAACTGCCACATCAATTCCTAGTAAGCTCAGAATCTGGCCAAATGGGCTTCCCAAACCACCAATGAAGACCTTTCAAGCCTTACCCATCCCAGATTGCCTTTCTCCCCGCATCACCTATTCTTATTTTATTCTCTTCCTGCTGCTTTCATAACCCTCATGTTTCCAAGAACATTTCCTTGGCAATAATGCCTTATTCAGAGACAGCCTTGCGTCTGACCACTGTGGCAGGCACGTGGCTCTTCACACACTCTGGAGCACTTAGCATTAATACAGCAAAGGCCTCAGTAAAGTATATGCACTTGTTCATAAGCAACAATGTGTCCACTCACTCATTCATCTATTCAATCAATTTAAGAACATCTCTGACTTTTTTTTTAATTTTTAATTTTTTTTTTAATTTACTTATGATAGTCACACAGAGAGAGAGAGAGAGAGGCAGAGACACAGGCAGAGGGAGAAGCAGGCTCCATGCACTGGGAGCCCGATGTGGGATTCGATCCCGGGTCTCCAGGATCGCGCCCTGGGCCAAAGGCAGGCGCCAAACCGCTGCGCCACCCAGGGATCCCACATCTCTGACTTTGATACAAGCCCCTGTTTGAGTTTTGTGCTACTGTTTTGGACCTTTTCGCTTGCACCAAGCTCATGCTATGCAAATATTTGGCTCTAGCCCCACATTCAGATCTGATGACCAGGACCCTTTTCAAAGTGACGTCCTGTGGGGAAAAGGAACAGAATAGGTGGTGGGGGGGGGGATGTGAGAGAGAGTCTGCATTCTGTTTTTCTTCCAGACACATAAGCAGGTGATTAGAGACCTGGGATACTTCTGAAATTGGCTCCAGGGGGGCAGGTGGGACAGAACAGGAAGTGAGAACATGAAGAAAGGGCCCAAGTACATGGGATGCTTCAGTTGTTCATTTGAAGGAAAACATTTTCTGAAATTAAAAAGGATCCTCAGATGTCTAAGGAATGAAAGCGTTTGCTTTTCTTCTTTTGTGGTGGTCTGCTTAGGAAGACAGGAGCTCCAGGAGAGAACAGAATTCATCAGATGACAAACAGCCCCACCCAGCTTCTCTTCTGCTCGACAGTTAACATGCACAACTGTGCATGCACACACACACACACGTACACATATGCACACACGTATACACTCACACACATGCACTCATATGCACACACCTTCCTGCAGACACATGCACACATGCATAGACCCACCTGCATACATGCATACAACCACACACAGGCACACATCCATACCTGCACACACATGCACACATCCACCTGCACATACTCGCCTGCACACATATCACATATGCACTCACCCATGCATACACATATGCACACAGCAGGCACACATCCTTATATGCAGACACCCACCTGTACACATGCACACACTCCTCTGCACACACACGCAGATACATGCACACACCCACCTTCGCACATACACAGCAACTGCTTTAAACTACACTTAGTGATAATTTGCAGGACAAAACTTGATTCCTAGAACAGAAGCACTGTGCATTAGCCATTGTGTCACCCTCAGGTTACAGGCACAGAAATAATAGGGTGGTGGCCGAAGGCAATCAATCGCTATCAGAAAAGGGCTCAAATGTCAGCTGCTGTGCAGGCTGGAGGGCTCCCTCCTGTTGGTGGCACTTACTTCAGTCCCTTTCTCACCCTGGTCATCCTTAAGTGGTGTGGACGTCCAATTGGCACCCAATGACATTAGCATGTCAACAGAGCGTCTAGAAATAAAAATCACAAATTCAGAGGAAAGCATCCAAAGGTACATGGCTGGATCCTGCAGAGCTATTCATAGCAGAAGGCCAGATAGAGCAGACCCATACTCATTCTACATATTGGAAGCTATGCTAAATTAGTGTAAAATTGACTTCATTAAAAAAGATATACTGTGTTATTTTCTAATTATGAGAATTCAAACTAAATGCTCAAAGCATGACCAGATCCACGTTCACCTCCAGCTGTTGTCACAACCCCTATGACTCACTCGTAATAACAGCATTTGAGGTAAGCAGCAAGCATGCGAATGCTGCTTTTAAGGGGACAGAAAGTGTACCACCTGACCAAGTTAAACACATAGCCATGAAATATTCATTTCACTATTACCTGAACCGAAATACTGAATTTATTTCTTTACAAATTTCTAATTGGTGAACTCTGAGCAAATACACTTTTGCTATATATCCAAAATTCTCAACTCTTTGACTTCTGATGTAGAGCAACCACATCAAGGAGTTTCAAATGTGTTTGTTTCTGAATTTGCAAAGATTTAGACTCCTTGGATTATGCAGCCAAGCAAACCAAATTTCTGCTGGCTTCGTTACAGCTTGCCAAGACAGAGCTGCCCTCAGGACTCCGACCCCCGTGTCTTAATGGGCAGTAGGCGGTCATCAGATACAAAGATTTCTGTGAAGTTTAATACTACACATACAACTACCTCCCCAAAACAGCTGGATGCAGATATCATCTCCTGGAGAGTTAAAACTTCAGTAGATTTTGGGTTTTCACCCCGGGATCAGGAAATCAACAACCAGCAGCTGGCAAACCTACAGGACGGCAGAGGGTCCAAAATCATGCAAGAACAAAGTTCTCCTTATTCCAAACCTTTGGTTTCTATCAGCAAACAGTTCTCTACATAAGCAGCCATCTCCACAGAGAATATTATATATATAAGATCCTGGAAAAGCAGAGCACAAAGCCCGCAGACCATGCAGCAGGTCTGTGAGCAGCGGAATTGGGTCTGCTTCCAGGGACAAAAGGAGAGTTAATGAGGCCTCAGCCCTACAGATGTGCTGATGCAGCCTAATCCCCAGGGTCAACCCCCCAATACACTATCAGCCCATGCCAAAGGTCTGTCCCTGCCAAGAATCAGCCACATTCAATCATTAGATTAATGTCATGCATTAGCTCCTATTTCTTTAGTTAAGAGTAAAAGGTCACAATCAACAAACCTTAAATGTGGAAGGTATAAGCAAAAGGAGGATTCCTTTCTGAAACTCCTGCACCTCTTAACAAAAACAGAGAGAAAGGGGAGAAAGAGAACAAAGAAAAAACAGATATGAAGCCCACATGGAGAAGGACGAGAGAACCAACTATCCTGGCATGACTTTAAAAACTGCCCAGAGAAACGAAGTAGGGGTGGTGGAAGGGGAGGAGGGCGGGGGGTGGGGGTGAATGAGTGACGGGCAACGAGGGGGGCACTTGACGGGATGAGCACTGGGTGTTATTCTGTATGTTGGCAAATTGAACACCAATAAAAAATAAATTTATTATTAAAAAAAAAAAAAGAAAGTAAAAACCTCCCAGAAACCGCATCTCATGTACAGACATTTTCCGGGGTCATCTCCAATGTCATCCATGGCACGTGAAATCAACGTTCTGAGTTGGTAACAATGGCAGGACGCTTTTAGTGACCCCATCACCCTGACACCCAAGTAGCTGTGTAGCAAAGCTGTGTCGTAATTAAAACAAATGGAAAACGCTTTAATGAAAATCCCAAGTCAAGGCAAGTAGCTTCTCTCATATATGACATTCCAAAGTGAAAACGAACTCACTTTCCGCCCAAAGTACACAGTACTCCTTTAAATGTCTTGTCTTTGTATGTTCGTATGTAAGATACTCAACAAATTCTACTGTATATTCTTCACACATTATGCTCTTTTATGTTTCGAACACTGAGTTCTATTTCCAGGGAGAAACAAAGTGAGGTTGGTACCATATCATACTTAGAATGCACAGGCTTGGCATAGACTGGAGTTGGCAAAACTATCCTCTCTCCTCAGACAACTGTGACCATCCCATGTGCCGACTAGACTCGTTTCAACTGTGAGCCATTTGACACCCTGATGTGCAAAGGGCCCCATGGGACACACCCCTCCACACCCGCGTTCCTCAAACTTCTGGGGCGAACCCAGGCTCAGGACAGAGCACAGATCCACAGCCACCGCCACCGGGCTGTTCTGGGAGGGCCCGAATGATCCTGTAAAGGGGGAGTCTTTACCACCAAACTGCCGATCACGAAAGAGCAAACTATTTTCTGTATTTTTCCCTGAAAAGGAAATTTATAAAATTTGGAAGGTGTTAACACCTGTGAAGGTGCTAACACAGCTCACAGGGTCAGGGAGTGAGAGTCTGGAGGCCTGGCCAGGCCTGGAAGGTCCAAGGACAGGCGCCCCCGGAGGCGCAGGGGCAGGTGCTCCCAGGGACTCACCTCAGCGTGAAGCGATCCGCGCTGCAGTTCCGGGACACGGCCACAAGGAAGGTGAGCACGTCGCCTTGCCTCGCTGTCCTGGCGGAGTACAGGATGGCCACGTTGCTGTCCAAACGCAGCTCCCGCAGCGCGGGTCTGCCCCCCGTCTGATAGAGGAAGACGCTGCCGATCCTCTGCAGGTGGGGCACGGCCTCGTCCAGCCCGTCCTTCCCGGGCCGGATGGCGTTGTCCTTCCTGACGTCGCTGCTGCCCGCACAGTCCCCGCGCGCATCCCCCGGCTGCACGGAGTAGTAGAGCTCCACGGGGCTCCCCTCGGGCGGCCCGGGCGCCCGCTTCCTCCCGGCCACCACGGTGGGGGGCCCGAACCAGGCGGCCAGCAGCTCCAGTTCGGCCACGCACAGCCCCAGGGCGCCCTGCAGCCGGCAGCCGGCCCGCACCTCCCGGGTCTCCCGGAAGGCGAACAGCCGCAGGCAGGGCAGCCGCTCGCCGGGGCTCTGTGCCGCCCAGTCCCGGCCCAGCAGGTGGAAGAGCACCTGCACCCGGGGCCGGCTCAGGTACACCTTGTCCCGCAGGATGTGCGCCCTCAGCCTCCAGTTGAGGGAGAGCTTGCTGGTGGCTCCGAAGGGGCTGGAGGGCAGCAGGAGGTCCTGAGGCACCACCTGCTCGATGGAGAAGGGCCCGTAGCTGGCGCTGAGCACGGGGAGCCTCTGGGCTCTGTAAATTAGGAAGGACTCCACGCGGGACTGCAGGCTAGAGTTGCGCATGATGTCCTGGTTGGCCTCCTTCAGGAAGAAGGACACGTCGGCGTTGTTGATGTGGTAGGTCACAGGGAGGTAGGTAGGCAGCAAGGAGAACCTCTGGATGCTCTCCAGGACCCCTCGGCTCTCAGTCACTGTCAGGAGGAATCAGAGCGCAGGCGTTAGGAACCCAGGCCAGTGCTAACAATGCTTCCGCCGTCTCCATACCCCTTCCTCCCTGATTGCCAGCTTTGTCCCAACCATGCACCTCTCTACCCAAAACCTCAGATGCCATCCACTCACTGTCTAAGACGTGTGTTGCTTCTACAACGGGGTGAGCCTAGGGCTTGCTCCCTTTGCTAAAAAGTGAGATCACCCGGGATTAGGAGTCTGAAGAACATGCTAGCATCAGACAGAGGAGGCTGCTCCCATTAACTCCAGGACAGAGACTAGGTGCAGAAATAACTTCCTTGGCGTGGGCTTCAATGCTTCAGCCACATCTCACCTGACGCCCTGTGTACCTCCCTCCACTGATGACACGCGCAACACTTAAGGGCACTTGGGCCACCAGAGAATGATAAAGGACGCTGGGCGATGGTAAATGAAGATGGGATCTCACAATCGCGTGCATGTCACACACGCCCCTTGGATGTCAGCTGACAGACTCAGAGCCCAGAAGGATTTGCCTGGAGGAATCTTCCGGGAGGCAACCTGACCATGTCTCTCACGGTGGGCCCAGGTGTGCACAGCACACACCTCATGCCCCCAAGAAACACATCTTTTTCATTACAGCCACCTCCTCCCTGAAAGCTGTTTTGATCCCGGAGCACAAAAGGTATTCTTTTTCTTCCTTACTGATCATATCCCTCCATGGCAGGGGAACGGGAGAGGGACACCAAACTGCCATTTTTACAGTATGCCTTATTTTCTCTAAGAGAACCACAGACATAGAAATTCAATGCAAGAATGAATTTTACGGGTTTTAGAAATGGAAATTATTGGCTTTGGGAACACTGACTTTCTAGGCCAAGTTCCACAAGTCGTACAAAGCCCTTCCCATTAGTAGCCATGTGACTATCTCTGGTTATTCTGCAATAAAAGCAACTCAAACCCTGACATTCACTGTGCCCATGTGCTTAAAAGGCCCACGTGAAAACCTGTTCGGATGCATGACACCAACGCAAGCCTGGACCCCCGGCGGCAGCTGACTGTGAGCGGAGGAGAAAGCAAAGAACTCAGGAAAGAGGTTCTGTGCATGGCTTGGCTGCACCGTTGCCAGGGGACAGACAAGTCACTGACTCCTTTGGCCTCGTGGGGCTGGTGTGCAGAGTTAGGGCCCCGACCAGGGCATCGACGCCCTATCCAGCTGCAATGCTACAGGTGCTAACCTACATTCACTCGCCTTCTGGACCAGCAGCCACTCTGACTCATACAATTGTTCTGAGTGTACGGACAGCCCCCAGGGAAGAACAGTCAGTGGGTGACATTACCAAACCCAGGCCAGGCTAAGCCCCAGTGAAGCAACCAAGGTTTGCGTGGTGCTGAACCATTTAAAATCGACGGAAAAGTGAGCAGTTTTGACTGACGTGAGCAGTGACTTCACGCGGTTCAACCAATAAATAGGAATTTCTTTTTCAAAAATCAAAATATCCTAGGTATAACCAGATACTTCACTCCTTAACAGGATTACCTTTTTAAAAAAAAACTTTCCGGAAATCACTCAGGATTCGTATTTCTCATAATCCTGTACTTTCCCATGTGAGTTTTAGTGAAAGCTAAGAACAGGGTGTGGATTTTCTGCTAATATTCTGCACTGAATGCTTCATCCCTTCACCGGGTCTGCCCTTCGCACCCTCTGCTGCATCGTTGCCATTCCCCAGGTCTCAATATAAAGTCAGTTTTCTGGAATGCCTCCCTTAGCTGCCTGCTTCTGGGTCACAGGTGCCATCCCATTCTTCCATGTATCCCGCATACCCCTCTGTAGGACTTCATGCTAGGCTGTAACTGCTCCCATGCTCCGTGGGTTATGTGCAAGTGAGCACACACAACAGGTGGGCCTTTACTCTACGTTTTCACATCCTTGGGAGGGCGCCTGGAAAATACCAGGTACCCAATAAGTATTTGTTAAGTGCATGAATGGATGGATCGACAAATGAATTATGACATTAATAGTACAAAGAGCAAATTGTATTTTTATTTTTTAAGACTATTTTTTTAATTTTTACTTTTATTTTTAAGAATTTTTTTATTCATGAGAGACATGGAGAGAGAGAGAGGCAGAGACACAGGCAGAGGGAGAAGCAGGCTCCATGCAGGGAGCCCGATGTGGGACTCGATCCTGAGACTCCGGGATTATGCCCTGAGCTGAAGGCAGATGCTCAACCGCTGAGCCACCCAGGCATCCCCGAATTGTATTTTTACATCAGGATTTTGGATGTTGTGTTCTGTCCGCCATCTCTCTACAATCAGGATCCTTAACCCCATCAGGAGCTCCAAATAGATGTTAGCTATTTGGGGCCAAGGAAGACAGAAGTTTCTCCACACAATGAGATCCCTAAAAAGACCTACATCAATGACACGGGGTCTCCTGATTCTTAAAAATACACCTCAGAACCCCTCAGAATAATGGCCTTAAGCTGTCTCACACCTGCTTCTCATTCATCCCAGAAACTGCCAAAACCAAATCACCAAGCTGCAGAGAGTTAAGCATGCATGCTAGACACCAAGACCATGTGAACTCTGTTGTGGAACACACAACCCCTACTCCTTGAAGACATCAAACTTAATTGTGCAGCTAATTACATATTCCAAGGACAATGACCATGAGTCCCCTGACTTTATTTGGGAAAGCAATAAGGAAGTCACTGCAAACATTGTTCAAAGTTAAGTAATTTCTAAGCTTTCCTCCACAGATGGCCTATTGGTCTTTTTGCCTAGTAGCTGGCCTCAATGTTTATTGCTTAAAAGTGCTCCAAGTTGAACTAAAGTTCATGGTATTTACTTACACTTCCTTTATTATTTTCTTTTTTTAATAAAAATGCAAAAATAATGCCAATTCTGCTCCACAAGACACAGAAAACACTAAGAAGTAAAACTCATTACCCTTGAATCCCCACAGGGGTGGCTCTTACAACCTACAAACACCAATTCCGCATTAACACGAGTGAGGTGTCAGAGAAACAAGAAGCTGTAAATCTCAATTAATAAGCCATTAAGAACAAAATTACATTTGATTTTGATGCCATGGCTTTCCACACTAAGTTGAAGGAAAGCAATATGTTCCCATCTTAAAGCAATTCAGTGATGCTGGAGAGATTTTATATTAATTTTAGCATTTTAGAAAACATGATTTTCCCCTAATAATACTTTTAAGAAAGATGGGGAAGATAGCAATTTGAGCACCGACCTTTACATCTTCCCCTGGGGAGATGGGAAAGCAGTACCTGAGGGGATATGGTAGCAGTAAAGAATCATCACCTGTGCTAAACATGGAAGTTCAGTCTGCACACCAGGAATCACAGGAATTCCTGAGAGACCACATGGGACTCAAACACCACATGCAAAAAATACAGCGTGGTTAATGCTGCCAGATAAAATATGGGAATCCAATTATGTCTCAATTTCCAATAAACAGTAATGCTGTGGGGACATGTTTCTAAGAGAAAGTAAATAAATTTGTTGTTTATTTGAAATTCAAATGTACCTGGGGAATCCTGTATTTTTGTTTGCTAGGTCTGGCAACCCTAAGCAGGATCATAAAAACAAAACAGCAGGCATCCTGATAGAAACTCCCTTGATAGTTCTCAGAGTGAAATCCATGAACCCCAAGGACGCCCCACACTTGGTGATGATGTTCATGATGCTGGCGGTCAACTTTTGCAATCAGCTGAGCTCAAAGACCCAAGAGTAAGCTTGGTCACATGCACAGAAAGCCCCAAACAATCAAAGTGTCTTGCTAACAAGGAATAGGAAGGAGCTGCGACATAGCCTCCTGTGATCCTGGGATGAGTCCAGACCAACCCTAACCTAGTCTAGAGCACAGTCCCCCTGCTGGGAGCATCAACCAGCCCAGTGCACCCTCACACTGCTCAAGCTGCAAGCCACCGGGGTCACAACATGGTTATTAATACAGGATAGGTGGCCCCTCCAGGTGAATTCTTGTGAACTCTAATAGGATCAAGTGAAAACCAGGGACAAGGAAAATACACTCCATTATGTGAAGGGAAATTGCCCTGCAAGAGACAATCTAAAGAGAAAAAGCAAACAAAAAGCAGAAGAGGAAGAAAATCTTTACACAAAAGCTGTAAAATAAAAGAAAAACATTTAAACAAGCATTCAAGAGGTAGAAAGCAATAACACTTTGAAGAATATTTACCAAAGAATATAGAAGTACATTTTACACAGAATAATCTTGAAGAAGCCCTTAACGATCAAGACCATACAGGCCCTTTGTTATTTATAATAAAATAAAATAAAGGCTAAGAGGGAAGAAGACCTGGCAGTATTAAAAGTAAGGGATTTAAAATGGTTCCAGAGGCAATAAAACAGATTTGAAAAAGCAGAAAATTGAATTTATCAAATGAGATGAGAAACTTTGGAAGCTCTCCCTAAAGGTAAATGTTAAAGACAAAGAAATAAAAATGGCCAAGGCCACGCTGCCAACACATGAGTCACACACCAGTTGTTCAATGCAGATAGTGAGGCTTCTTGGGAAGATACCAGAAAAACTCAAAAGCAACATCCTAGAAAGACAACAGAGAAAAGAAAATAGCCCTGATTTCAAAAAATAAATATTTCACCAAATTCTGGAAACAGAGAGCACCACCTTTAGGATTGCTTCTAAAGATACTTTTTATTTTATCACTTTTTTCTTGAAGAAGAGTTGGCACAAAGTTGCATTGGTTTCAAGTAGAACAACATGACTGGACAAGCCTGTCTGTCATGCTGTGCTCACCACGAGTGTAGCAAAAATCTGTTGTCAGGTAACACTGTATGAGATACTTATTAATGTCAATGGTAAATATAATTATTTATCCCTTTTTTTAAGATTTTATTTATTTATTCATGAGAGACACACAGAAAGGGGCAGAGACATAGGCTGAGGGAGAAGCAGCCTCCCTGCAGGGAGCCCAATGTGGGACTCGATCCCTGGACT